TTTTTTTTTTTTTTTTGGTTGTTGTCATTTGGCAGGCCTGGCTGGATTCGAACCTACCATCTCTGGTGTATGTGGCTGGGCATCGTAGCTGCTGAGCTACAGGTGCCAAGCCCTAAAGTCAAAAACTTTTGTATGAGGCTGGGTGCTGGGGCTCACGCCTGTAACCCCAGCACTCTGGGAGTCTGAAGCAGGTGGATTGCCTGAGCTCACAGGGGTTCAAGACCAGCTTGAGCAAGAGTGAGACCCTTTCTCTAACAAAAAAAAAAAAAAAAAGCCAGACATTGTGGTGGACGCCTGTAGGCCCAGCTCCTTGGGTGGCTGAGATAAGAGAATTGCTTGAGCCCAAGAGTGAGGTTGCTGTGAGCTGTAACACCATGGCATTATCCCAAGGCTGACAAAGTGAGACTATTGTCTCAAAAAAAAAAAAAAAAACTTACTTTTGTATGTCAAGAGACACCATGAAGAGAGTGGAGAGGTAAGATATAGTTTTGGGATATCTGTAACAAACATAACTGACAAAGTATTGCCATCCAGAATATAGAAAGCATGCCTATAAATCAATATTAAAACCAATAAATAGAAAATTAATCAGAAGACATGAATAGGCATTAAAAAAGAAAAATATGAAAGTCTGCTCAATCCATTAGTAATCATGGAAAAGCAAATTAAGACCATGTTCAACACCATTTTCTCTCACTAGATTGGCATAAATTAATAACATTTCAAATCTTTTTGAGGATGTAGATGAACCAGAATTTTAAACACTGCTAGTAGTTAAATGGTAATTTTAATCATTTGGGGAAATAATTTGGCTTTATTTTGTTGATTTGAGTATTTTATTTTATTTTATTTTTTATAAACAGAGTCTCATTCCCTCGTCCTGGGTAGTGTGCCATTGTGTCATCCTACCTCCCAGCAACCTCAAACTCTTGGGCTCAAGTGATCCTCTTGCCTCACCATCCCACTATAGATGTGCACCACAATGCACATAGTTTTTCTTGTTTTAGTAGAGATGGGGGTCTCGCTCTTGCTCAGGCTGGTCTTGAGCTCCTGAACTCAAGCGATCATCTCCTTTTGGCCTCCCAGAGTGCTAGGACTGTAGGCATGAACCACTGTGCCCAGTCTGATTTGAGTATTTTAATTTTATATCCCTTCTACATCTAGTTATGTGTGGGTCATTAGGCAAGTTTTGAGATGCACAAAAATCAAGAAACAAAATCCGCAGACAGAAACAGATGTACTCCCAGCAATACCAATAATCGAGTAAATTGAAACTTGCATGAGTGAATCGGAAAGGATGCTGTCAACTGTGTTTCTTCTTTTTTTCTTTTTGGAGAAAAGGGTCTCACTTTATCACCTTCAGTAGAGTGCTGTGGCATCACAGCTCACAGCAACCTCAAACTCTGGGGCTTAAGCAATTCTCTTGCCTCAGCCTCCCAAGTAGCTGGGACTACAGGCACCCATCATGATGCCTGGCTATTTTTGTTGTAGTTGTCATTGTTTAGTAGGCCCAGGCTGTTCAAACCCATCAGCTCCGGTGTATGTGACCAGGGCCCTAGCTGCTGAGCTACAGGTGCTGAGCCTCAGCTGTGTTTTTTAAAAGTGAAATAATGGACCATAGCACAGTCTATCTCAAAGCTTTCATAGTGACCTATGTATACCATAGAGAATTCGTAGCATCAGAAGTATGAGACACGTGGAAGAATTTTTTTGTTTTGTGTTTAAGAGATGAGGTCTCACTATGTTGCCTAGGCTGGACTCAGGCTTTTGGGCTCAAATGATCTTGCTTCAGCCTCTATTAGGTAATAAAATTATTCATAATTAAAATTGTAAACAACCTAAATTTTCATTGAGAGGACAAATGATAATTTGTTGTATATAAACACAGTGGAAAATACTATTATACAACAGTGAAAATGAATGATGTACAGCTAAGCAAGCCATACAAATGAATCTTAGAAACATACTAAGTGAAAAAAATGGAAGTTATATGTGAGATTATATATTGATGAAGTCAAGAATGAAAGAAAACTAATATATTCAGTATGTTGTTTAGGAATATACACATAGGATACAGCTATGGAAAGATAAAGCAAAGGAATGAATGCACAATTCAGGGAAGGCAGCCGAATAGGAAAGAGAAGAAGTACTCAGATGTCATGTGATTGGAAAGGTTCTAGGTCTTTGCTGTCCAATATGGTAGCCATTGGCCATATATGGCTATTTAACCAAAATTACATAAAATTTAAACTTGAGTTTCTCAGTTACACTATTCACATTTTAGTTGTCACTAACCACATGTAGCTTATGGCTACTGTATTGGACAATGCACATATTAGATCATTTCCCTTGTGGCAGAAAGCTTTGGTAGATAGTACTTATGGTAGATCATAAGTGGGTAGTTGGTTCACTGGTATTGATTACTCTTCAAATGCAATGTGTCCACATATATGTGTATACACAAACGCATGCATACATATATATTTCTTAGTTTAAATTAAGTATTTTTTAAAGAAAATTTCTCTAGTTCCCTAATTCCTGTTTTCTACTCAGCTGAGTTACCTTAGTAGAGTAACTTTACCTAGATTTGTTGACTCATAAAATATTAATTGGACTTATCTTATAAATCAAGATTTTTTCCTGCTAAATATTTGTGTTATGAAATGGTGCTACAAAGTATCCCTTAGTTTCTCAGTGTGTCCTACATTTGAGCACCTTTGATCATAAATATCAGTCTCTTGAAAAAATTTACTATAGTACTACAGGTAAATTTAAAATTTTAACTTCTCAATCTTTCCATCTTACTGGCTTTTTGGGGAGAGGGGGCAGAGTCTTGCACTCTTGTCCACTGGAGTGCAGTGATGCAATTATAGCCCTCTGCAGCCTTGAACTCCTGAGCTCAAGCAGTCCTCCCACCTCAGCCTCCAAGTAACTGGGACTACAGGTATAAACCACCCCACCTGGCCTAATTTTTATGATAGTACAATTGCATTAGTTTTAAAATCTCTTGAGTAGCCAGGTGCTTTATATCAATTCAGTTTCCTGCCTGTACTTAACTATTGTATGCATACTTTGTTTCCTATCTCAGTTTTACATATGTTAATTAGAAAACTTTTACACAGTTCTGCTGAAGTTGGTAGCGGTATAGCTGTATCACTTTTGCTGAGGAAAAACTTAAGACTCAGAGAGAAGAAACAGAATCCACTATCAGTTGTCCTCCATTTTCTCCCAAACTCTCCTAATCCTAGGCAACCACTAATCTCCTTTGTGTTTCTATGGATTTGCCTATTCTTGATATTTCATATACATGGAATTATATAATATGTGACATTTTTGTCTGATTTTGTTCATGTAGCATAAGGTTTTTTTTTTTTTGAGACAGAGCCTCAAGCTGTCACCCTGGGTAAAGTGCCCTGGCATCAGCTCACAGCAACCTCCAACTCCTAGGCTCAAGCGAGTCTCCTGCCTCAGCCTCCCAAGTAGCTGGGACCACAGGCGCCCACCACAACGCCTGGCTATTTTTTTGGTTGCAGCCGTCATCATTGTTTTTGGCGGGCTCGGGCTGGATTTGAACCCGCCACCTTAGGTTTATGTGGCTGGCGCCTTAGCCACTTGAGCCACAGGGACCAAGCCTAGCATAAGGTTTTTAAGGTTCATCTGAATTGCAGCTTGTATCAATACTTTATTTTTATGGCTGAATATTTTTTGTGGATATGGCATATTTTATTTGTTCCATTTATCAGTTGATGGACATTTGGACTATTTTCACTTTTTGATTATTATGAATAATTTTGCATTAATTATATGCCAGTTTTTGTGTGTACATATGTTTTCATTATTCTCTTTTTGATTATAGCCTGTCTTTTGATTATAGTATGAATCGTCCCAATTATTTTGTTCTTTTCGAGTATTGTTTTGACTATTCTGAGTCCCTTGAATTTCCATGTGAATTTTAGAATTGGTTTGTCAATTTTTGCAAAAGAAAAAAAAGCCAGCTGGGATTTTGATAGGGATTGTGTTGAATGTGTTGAGGAATAATGCCATGTTAACAATACTGAGTCTTTGGATCCAAGAACATAAAATGTCTTTCCATTTATTTGTGTCTATTTTATTTTTTTTTTTGTAGTTTTTTTTTTTGGCTGGGGCTGGGTTTGAACCTGCCACCTCCGTATGGGGTCGACACCCTACTCCTTTGAGCCACAGGCGCCTCCCTGTCTATTTTATTTTTTGAACAATGTTTTGTTGTTTTCAGAGTCTTAAGTTTTGTGCCTTCTTGTTGAATTTATTTCTAAGTTAGTATTTTATTCTTTTTGACATGCAATTGTTTTCTCAATTCTGTTTTCATAATGGACTCAATATACCTTTTTCCTTTCATTTGATCTTCACCACAAGTCTAGGAGGTGGGTATTATCTCTTTTTGCAGATAAGAAATTAAGTTCAAAGAATTTAAATGATTTTGCCTGCAAGGCAACCAAATTCATATTTCTGGGAAGACAGCTGGATGAATGAGGAGGTATTTCAGTCAACCTGACTGCAAACCCTAGCATGCTTTTATTTTCCCGTTGAAGCCCTGGATGTAATACCAGGAAGGTGGGAGAGGAAAGTCAAGGTGCCTCAAGTGAATAATGTATTCAAGATAGTGGTGAGAGGGATTATTTACTCTATCCTATTTCTTAAGCCTTCAGAAGGTCCATGTATTTGGAGGCAGTTCAGTTTATTGATAAAAGACCTGTGTCTTGAGTTTGGGCTCTGGCTTTGCTATTTAACTTGCTACCTGACTCAACAGGTTGCTTTGATTCTCTATGTTTTGTTTTCTTCTGTAAAATAGAGCAGTTGTAAGTCTTCTCTGCCTCAGAGGGTTGTTGTTTAAGAGATTAAATCAAATATTCTATTCTTGTCTGCAGAGCTCAAAGCCCAGGGCCTCACAATAAATGTTCAGTTGAATATTAACTGCAGGTGTTCTCTTGCTCATAGCTTTTTTCTTACTCCATGCTCATGTTTCTCTTTGCAGTACAAATTCAGGGATCTGACTGTGGAAGAACTAAAGAATGTAAATATACTTTTCCCACATTTTAGATATTCCATGGACACCTACGGTAAGAACCTTAATTTCTAGTTTTTACTCCCTTATTTGAACTATTATTTGGTCCTAGAGAGCTATAAAATCTTAATTTAACATTTCTCTCTTTTGACCTCTAATTTTAAGCTATACTTTGAGAACTGTGATTTCTAAGGAAATTTAAGTTAATGCAAATACATTATATTAGTTTACTATTGCTATATAACAAATTACCACAAACTGCACAGCTTAAAAAAAAACAAATAAAAATTTACTCTGTTGCAGTTTTGTAGACTAGAAGTCCAACACAGATTTCTGTAACTTAGAAGTTTAACTGGATATTCAAAGTGGATAATCATTTGTTGGCCTTTTAGCTAAGATCAAGTGTGGAAATTGGACTTGGCTAAAATCAAAATGTCAAGAGGTCTTTGTTTCTGGAGGCTCTAGGGGGTAATCTGTTTTTTTGCCTTCTTCAGTCTTTAGAGGTCTCTGGCATTGATGCCTGGTCTCTTTCTCTGTCTTCAAAGCCAGCAATTTTGCATATCTGTAACCATTCTTCTATTGTTAGATCTCCCTCTGACTATAGCTGGGAAAGGTTCTCTACTTTTAAGAATCAGTATGATTAGATTAGGCCCATCCAAAAAATAAAGGCTAATTTCCCTATCTCAGGGTCCTTAATTTTATCACATCTAGAAGGTCCCTTTGCCAAGAGAGGTGATAATTCACAGGTTCCAAGGGTTAGGATATGGATATATTCAGATGGCTTTTATTCTGCCTACTGCATATATGGTTGATTCTAAATTATTAATAACAAAGTTTTATGTTATTCTTTTTTTTTTTGACACAGTCTCACTATGTCACCCTCTGTAGAGTGCTGTAGTGTTACAGCTCCCAGCAACCTCAAACTCTTGGGCTTAAGCAATTCTCTGGCCTCAGCCTCCCAAGTAGCTGGGACTACAGGCACCCACCACAACACCCAGCTATTTTTTTTTTGCAGTTGTCATTGTTGTTAGCAGGCCTGGATAGGTTCAAACCCACCTGCCTTGGTGTATGTGGCTGGTGCCCTACACTGGTCTATGGGCGCCGAGCCTATCTTATTCATTTTATAGAGAAGATCTGGTTATCTAAGAAAGGCTTTATTTCAAAAAATATCTGACTACAACCTGCGAATGGAAATACATTTTATATCATGATCTAGGATACAAATAACTAAAATACCATGTCCACTCTGACATTTTTTTCTCTTTTTATCCAGTTCAACTCCATTTGAAAACAAATGCTAGTTGAGACTCATTAAGTTGATTTTAGGACCCAAGAATTAGTCAAAACTGCAGAGTTTTGAAAAACCTTATTATACGTGTCTATGTTTTAAATTTGTATTAGTTTGGTTTAAGAAAACAATCTCATTTGAATTTGTATATTAGACATCTTGAGGAGATGTTCAAGTACTGTTGTGAAATAGCTAGTTGTAGGCTGGATGTGGTAGACACACCTGTAATCCCAGTATTCTGGGAAGCTGAGGCAGGTGGATTGCCTGAGCTCACAGGTTCTAGATCAGCCTGAGCCAGAGTGAGACCTCATCTCTAAAAATAGGTGGGCATTGTGGCAGGTGCCTGTAGTCCTAGCTACTGGGGAGGCTGAGGCAAGAGAATCACTTAAGTCCAAGAGTTTGCTGTGAGCTATGATGCCATGGCACTCTACCAAGAGAGACTCTGTCTCAAAGAAAAAAAAAAAAAGATTTCACAGCTAGCAAGGGCTGGAGTTGGGATTTGTACCCATGTCTGTCTTGCATTCTGTTTCAATACTGCTTCTTTCATACAATGTCTATTTCATCATATATATTTGATGCTTTCTTTAAGTTTTATTTTAACCAATTAACTTTTATTTTCATTTCCTCCTGTCCTGAGAAAGCTCTGGTGCCATTAAACCCTCAAACTATAGAATTAATATTGGCAAAGTACATTTTTTTTTTTTTTTGAGACAGTCTTACTATGTCACCCTCGGTAGAGTGCTGTGGTGTCACAGGTCAAAACAACCTCAAACTCTTGGGCTTAAGTGATTCTCTTGCCTTAGCCTCCCAAGTACCTGGGACTACAGACGCCTGCCATAACACTGGCTTTTTTGTTATTGTTGTTGCAGTTGTTTTTTTTTGTTTGTTTTTTTAAGACAGGGCCTCAAGCTGTCCCCCTGGGTAGAGTGCTGTGGCATCACAGCTCACAGCAACCTCCAACTCCTGGGCTCAAGCGAGTCTCCTGCCTCAGCCTCCCAAGTAGCTGGGACCACAGGCACTCACCACAACGCCCAGCTCTTTTTTGGTTGCAGATGTCATTGTTGTTTGGCGGGCTGGGGCCAGATTCAAACCTGCCACCTTAGGTGTATGTCGCTGGCGCCTTAGCCACTTGAGCCACAGGCGGCGAGCCATTGTTGCAGTTGTTTAGTTGATCTGGGCCGGGCACCCTTGGTGCATGTGGCTGGTGCTGTAACCACTGTACTACAGGCGCCAAGCCCAAGGTACATTTTTTTATTGGAGATAATGACAATCATGCATCATAATTGCTTCTGTTTTGGCTTTTTAAATAATTTGATTGGATACCAAATATTCACAACTATGGTTTCTTTACACATTTCTGGGTTATTACCTATCTCTGAGCAGCAATCTCTTTTCTACTCCTTTTAGTTTGTGCCATGGAGTGGTCCCTTAACCTATTTTTACCTTTCACTTATATAGTTCAAGGTAAATGTTTATACTTAATGTACACTCTTGGCCCCTGGGTTTTAAGTGTCAGGCTGTGCTATGATCTGAATGTGTCCCCTACAAATTCATATGTTAAAATCATAATTCATAACTTATGATACTAGGAGATGGGGCCTTTAGGAGGCTCTTTGGCAGAGCCCTCATGAATGGGATTAATGCCTTTATTAAAAAGGCTCCTTCTACCTTGTTCCTGCCATCATGTGAGGACACAAGGAAAAGATGGCAGCAGACACCAAATCTACTAGTACCTTGATGTTGGAATTCCCAGCCTCCAGAACTATGAGAAATAAATTTCTGTTGTTTATAAGCCGCTCATTTGATAACCTATTAAAAGGGGAAAGAAGATGTAGCCTGAATAGACTAAGACAGCCTTTTTCTTCTTTCCCTTTTTAGGAGGTTATCAAATCTACTTGGAATCTTTTTCTTCCTCTGCTTAAATAGCACAGTTACTGAGATACTAAAGGACTACTTTCCATTATAACTGATTTGTTACATGTTGCAACTATTTAATAATGTCCCCACATTTTATAGTACTTAATTTCCTAAAGACTTTCAGATTGTCTCATTTGATCTTTATGACAACTTTGTAAAGCAGTCTTACCAACTTTATTTTATAGATGATGAAATTGAAGATTAAAGAGATTAAACTAACCAAAAATCACATACCTCTCTCTAAGTGAGGAAAGTGGACCTAGAATTTGGGATTCTGTAAACTCCCCTCACTACTGTCTAAGTAAACAGCAGCTAGTAATTTCCCCTGTCAACAGGTTTACTGATTTCTAGATTATGTTATTTAGAAATTATATGTGTATGTGTATATTCATGTGTGCACATATGTGCACTCTTACAAACATTACTACAATTCTTTCTGCTTCTAATTGCACGTTTTGGGTTTTTTTTCTCCTTATAGTTTTTAAAGATAGTTCCCAGAAAGACCTGCTGAATTTTACTGGCACTATTCCTGTGATGTATCAGGGTAAGTGTGGAAGTTGAGAAAATGTGAGAGTTTTCTAAAAGAGCAGTTAATTTAGTAAGAACTTAACATTTGTTTATATTGTAACATTCTCAAAGTATTTTCACATGTGTATGTTCCATACAGAACCTGACTAGATCTGGCAGGATGCTGTTCCAGTCAAGGATGGCTTAATCTGAACAAATTCAATTCAGTAAATACTTACTGTCAACTGTATGCCCACTGATCTCCTCCTCTTGGGGAGAGTTCTCTCTGTTTTCCATAGCCAAGTGCAGGGATCCCACTTTTTTCTTCATTATATCTATGTCTTTTTTTTTTTTTTTTTTTTTTTGAGACAGAGTTTCATTTATTAACCCTTGGTAGAGTGTTGTGGCGTCACAGCTCACAGCAACCTCTAACTCCTTGAGCTTAGGTGATTCTCTTGCCTCAGCCTCCCGAGTAGCTGGGAGTACAGGCACCCGCTACAACACCTGGCTATTTTGTTGTTGTTGCAGTTTGGCTGGGGCTGGGTTTGAACCCGCCACCCTCAGTATATGGGGCCGGCGCCTTACCCACTGAGCCACAGGCACCATCCTATATCTATGTTTTGTTCCTTTCCTTTTCCCTGGATAGGATATAGCATTATCTCCATTTCATAGAGGAAACTGAATCTAAGCCTGGTTTAACTTGCTTAAGACCACACAGCTAGTGTTAGGCTGACACTTGAAACTCTGATAGGAAATTTTAAAATAAGGATCATTAAAGCTCAAAGAAAAGAGCACATTTCAGGGTGACCTAAAGGTTAAAATAGCTGAGTGTTGGCTCAAAAAGAAAGAAAAATCATTAACTTCTTCTATTCTTAACTCTTCCTGTTTGTCCAGACCTACTTGCTCCTATGTTCTTTAAGGACGAACATTTCAGATAGGTATCGTAGAAGGTTTCTTATGTATTGTAAAATTTAAAAACACTATTGACTCTTTGTTCCAAAATAGTTCTCTGAAAGACTTTGATTCCTCATTGAGAAGTGAGGCTACTGGGCATTTGAAAGAGGAAGTACACTGAAAAGAGGGCTGAGAAAGATCTAGAAACCAAACAGGGAGAGAACAGTAGAGCTTGCTGTCTCCTAGAAAGTGTTTAATTTGCATGATTGGAGTACATTGCCCAAAAGATACCAGGAAGCTGTATTTTGGGGGACTTCTTTCAAAGTAGATGCTTCTAGATGGTAGTTCCCACATCATCACAAACTCCCTTAATTTCTCCTCCTTTCCTGCCAGTGATGACTTGTTAGAGGTGCACTCATGGTTTGTTCTGCCTCCGAGTATGTCCCACCATGGCACCTCTTTTGGCACTGATAGGCACTCAGGAAATGAATAGGAATTCAGATTGTTTTTATGCATAAAAGTGTGGTTGGAACCCACTTAGCCTTGGGTTCTATGCAGCAATTGTGGAATGAGGTGGGCAGAACAAGTTCAGAGTAGATTTTGCATTCCCTTCCTTGATCTTCCCCTGCCATACTTTCAGACTGTTTCTACATACCTGGAGAACTTTACTCAGACCTGTTGTCCCATTACTTATATTCTGCATTTATCTTGGTTAGATGTTAGAAAGGTAAAAGAAGAGAGAAGGAAACTGATTAAGGTGATTCATCCTAAGGGGTAAAGGACAATTCTTACCCACCCTAAAGATTTTAAGGGTAGTTGCATATTAACACAGGAGCTTAGGAATGAATTACTGCTTAGTACCATTTCAGTTTCTAAACAGTGTGGTGAGAACATGGGGACAGATAAACATCTTCGTGCTATCAGTTAGATGCCCCTACTTGGCACTCCACCTGTCCTGCAGCTATTGAGGACATGGATTCTTTTTTTTTTTTTTTTTTTTGCAGTTTTTGGCTGGGGCTAGGGTTTGAACCTGCCACCTCCGGCATATGGAGCTGGTGCCTTACTCCTTTGAGCCATAGGCACCACCTGAGGACATGGATTCTTAAGCTGGAGTTTTCCCCAAGGTAGTAATACTGACCGCAATGCTTTTTTTTTTTTTTTTGCCATATACTTTTTTTTTCCTTTGTTTTCAGCTAGAACTGTTATCAACTCATTGTGATTGTACATCAATTATTTCCTGCTGATCAAGAGGTCAGAATATATTAACTTTCTCATCCGTACAGTGGGATAGTAATAGAGCCTTTCCCAGAGTGGTGAAGTGTAAATGAATTACATTAAGTAAAGCTCTTCATCTAGTGCCTCGCACATAGTAAGTGCTCAGTAAGTTGACTATTATTTGTCTGCCTTTATTACTCTCTTTTAGTTAACTGGGTTTATTATTAATAGAAAAATGATAGTATATCTTCTTGCTGAAAAATTTATTTATTTTTTATTTATTTATTTATTTTTTGAGACAAAGCCTCAAGCTATCCCCCTGGGTAGAGTGCTGTGGCATCACAGCTCACAGCAACCTCCAACTCCTGGGCTCAAGCGAGTCTCCTGCCTCTGCCTCCCAAGTAGCTGGGACCACAGGCACCTGCCACAACGCCTGGCTGTTTTTTGGTTGCAGCCATCATTGTTGTTTGGTGGGTCTGGGCTGAATTTGAACCTGCCACCTTAGGTGTATGTGGCTGGTGCATTAGCCACTTGAGCCACAGGCGCAGAGCCATGCTGAAAAATTTAAATAGTTGGGAAGAAATGCAATTCAGCCTATATCTAACCTCCCACCCGGGCCTATTCCCCAGCTGAAACTACTGTTAATATTTCTTTATGAATACCTGTCAAAATTTGCTGTGTTGTTTTTTTACCCATTCAATATTATATTAAAGTCATTTTTCTCCATATATCCATTCTTTAGAGATGGGTATCATCTTAGTAAGATTGTACCTATCTAAACTTTATTTACATCTAACTTAAATTACATTCTTATGACATAATTACTTTAAATCTGAGGACTCCGTATCAGTTCTGACTCTTTAGTGTTAAATTACTAAAACTCAGATGGCCTAGGTAGAAGGAAGGGCATTTGTTTATTGATGGGAAAGTGGGTAGAAAGAAGAGACTAGAGATTACCAGCAGTGAAATCTTACCAGTGAGGTGCAGGAATCAGGGGCACCAGATGCTTTGCCGGGAATGTTAAAGTACATGAATGCTGCTGGGGAGGGACACCAATCAATCAAGGGGATACTTTCAGTAGACATTTCTTTCCTTTTCTTTAATGTGTAGTGATTAATGGAAGAAGTGGCTCCATCAGGGTTAGGGCTACCACAATAGCAGTATTACTAAACATTAAAAAAATTTTTTTTTGGATGGCCTAGAACAGTGGCTCTCAAATGTTTATACTATGACCGACAATAAGAAATACTTTTATATTATTAGCTAATACAACAATATAATTTCATGGCCTATTTATTGTGACCAACAGGTGAAAAACACTAGTCTAGAGCATACCACACATTAGGCAGTAATTTCTGGAGGCACATCATAGAATTTCTTGGCACCTGTCAGTCATTTTGTGGTGCTGTGATTAGAAGACTGTAGTCATAAGGTTATCAATGGACCAACAGTTATGGGTGTGTCTATATCCATATCATAAATTGTCAGACAAAAGCAGAAGAGGAATATGGCTCTAAGACTGGCCAATATAAAATCAGTAGATGCACAGGTATTAGAGACACTTCTATAATATGTATGTTAATTTTCAATTCTGAGTACACATTAGTATTACATAGGAAGTTTTTTTTTTTTTTTTTTGAGACAGAGTCTTCCCATGTCACCCTCAGTAGAGGGCTATGGTGTCACAGCTCACAGCAACCCTTTGTTTTCAGCTAGAACTGTTATCAACTCATTGTGATTGTACATCAATTATTTCCTGCTGATCAAGAGGTCAGAATATATTAACTTTCTCATCCGTACAGTGGGATAGTAATAGAGCCTTTCCCAGAGTGGTGAAGTGTAAATGAATTACATTAAGTAAAGCTCTTCATCTAGTGCCTCGCACATAGTAAGTGCTCAGTAAGTTGACTATTATTTGTCTGCCTTTATTACTCTCTTTTAGTTAACTGGGTTTATTATTAATAGAAAAATGATAGTATATCTTCTTGCTGAAAAATTTATTTATTTTTTATTTATTTATTTATTTTTTGAGACAAAGCCTCAAGCTATTCCCCTGGGTAGAGTGCTGTGACATCACAGCTCACAGCAACCTCCAACTCCTGGGCTCAAGCGAGTCTCCTGCCTC